GCACCGTGTGAGCCCTCGTGAGGCTTTCTTTCCCAAATTTTCCATTTCTCTAGCAGTTCAAGAAAACCCTAAACGATCAACACTCGGAAGAAGAAACTCTGTTAGATCGAATCAAATCGAGCTGAAAAGATGGCAATGGCTGCTCTCAGACGTGAGGGAAGGCGAATGGCCACCCCTCTCATGACCCCGCGCCCATTCAACCCTATCAGCTCCTCCATAGCTTCTTCAGAGTAAGATATAATCCTTCCTTCTCGCATTTTGTGTTGTGTCATGATCTTTTGTCGGATTTTATGCCGTTTAGGTTGTATATGCTCGTCCTTCGATTAGACTTTTGTAAAACCCAGTTTTTGTTTTGAGTTTGTTGTTTGTGTTTCGATTGGAAACTCGAAATTGGTGATGGCTTTTGTCTATCAGTGTAGCCGGTCCTTCATTTTATTGGAGTTTTGATGTATTTTCTTAGATTTGTTTGGCGAGAGTATTCGGCATTTCAGGTGTTAATGATCTCATTAAAGGTGATAATGCCATTGTTCAAATTTATCTGAAGTGTTATTGAGGTGAAAAGATGACGTTTGAGCTAGTTGAGCTTCAAAATTCATCAGATGTGATTAAGGGATTAAAAATGGTATCATGGGTTTGCTAAATCAGCATTTAAAAATGGGTACTCGAAATGAAATGGTTACGATTATTTGATAATATATCTTAGTTTAAGTGACTTAGCCTAGGATTAGTTAAGCTGACTTACTACTGTTCCGTCACTTTGTATGCATGTACTAATAGATAAAGGTATATTTGTAAAAAACTGGAGGATGAAGAGTATCGATCTGCATTGGAAGGGCTCTCAACCGCTAGGTGGGGTGGTAGTTGTGGTATTAATGATTTTTCTTAAAACAGATTTTACAGCATTTCGGTATGTGGAAAAATAAAATAAAAAAAGTAGAAAAGCATAGTGCATTTGGTTAAGTATTGCCATGAGTAAGAAATTTTGCTTATATCATTATGAGAAGCAAGTTCCTGAATTCATTTTCTTGTTGAACTATTCAAAAAAAATTTTGACTTTGAAAATATGAAAAAATTCTTCTGTAACTTAACAAATTGATCAAATATCATTTGTATCCTTGAGTTTAGATATCTTTAGTCCTTTTGCATTTCTGCAAAAGGTTGTGATTTTCTCTGTTATGCTTGTTTATCGTTGTCTGCCTCTAAAAGTTTAGTTCATCTCAACAGGGAGCATGCTGTTTCTGGAGTTCGTTCCATTTCAACTCAAATTGGTAAGATATATTCCTAATATATTACGAATTTACTTTTCTGTTTTATATTTTACCCTGCCATTTCATTTTCTTGTTGTGCTTATCCTAAAGTAAATTTTTATTCTAATGCTCGAAACATGCAGTCCGCAATCGTATGAAGAGTGTCCGGAATATTCAGAAAATCACCAAGGCAATGAAGATGGTTGCAGCTTCAAAGCTCCGAGCCATCCAAACAAAAGCTGAAAATTCACGTGGACTATGGCAGCCATTCACTGCTCTTCTTGGTGACACTCCAAGTGAGTTGATAGTTAAATTGTATCTCAGTTTATTTCATTCCTTCCATTTCGTTGCTGGAAGATTTGGACTTGTATGTTACTGGTTTTTTTTTTTTATTTTTCTAACAAGGTTTATTGATACGATATTTTGATCCATTTGAACCATGCATTCACACATCATATGTATACTTTTAATGACTTGCCATCTGTTAGTTGACTCAGGGTGGCATCCAAACTTTTCTGTGTGGGGTGAGGTAAATGGTAGAAATTTAGTCTTTCAAAACAACTTCGCAACTGGGAGCATGGATACCTCTTCTTCATGTTAAAACTGTACAGGAATCTCCAGAAGTAGCCGTGACTTAATTTCCTTAAAATAATTTCTTAAGCAGAAATTACATCATATAATATCCATGTCTTCATTATACTGACGGTTTGAGGCTTACTATTTTGAAGTATGTTATATAATATCGTGCATATCGTAACATTGTTGCCCCATGATAAAAGAATATTTCTATTACCAATTGGATGAATGATAAATTGTAACTACTGGTAACTTGAATCACTGTTTATGAGCTGATTATTGTTATTGTCTATTTCTCTTCTTTTGGCAATTTCTGTTGAATCTGCTTCAGTTTGTTGCTATGTTAATCCTCATTATTTCTCTTTAGGCAGTTTAGAATTTGGTTTCAAAATATCCTTATCTTTACAGCAAAAGAAGTTTTGTTATTAATTTTAATCTTACAAGTTGGTGTAAAATTTAATGCATCAGGTGTTGATGTCAAGAAAAATGTCATTGTCACTATCTCTTCGGACAAAGGTCTTTGTGGCGGAATAAATTCTACAGCTGTAAAAATAAGCAGGGGCCTCCATAAGTTGAATTCTGGTATGTTTTTAACGTCCCAGCTCCCGAGCTATGTGCTTGTGTTTTCTTCGTCATTACCTCCTCATTTTTTTTTGCCACAAGGTAATTAATTGGTTTTTTTAGTTGTGTATTGCAGGCCCTGAAAAAGAATGTACGTATGTCATTCTTGGAGAAAAGGCGAAGGCGCAACTTGTGCGTGACTCGAAAAAAGATATTGAGCTATCTATTACAGAGCTGCAGAAAAATCCTCTGAACTATACACAGGTGGTTACTTAGGCTCCTGCCTGGCAAAATGATACAGGATACCTATCCTAATTCCTTAATGATTCTAGGAGAAAAAATGTTTTAGAATATTGATGGTTTTGTTTCATCAAAACTTCTCGAGTTTAAATCGTAGTTTTGCAGGAATATGTCCAAGGTTAGTTTCCTTCCAGAATAATCCTTAACAGTTTTTCAAAAGTTTTATTAGATGTTCCATTGCAGGTTGCTGTACTTGCAGATGATATCTTAAAGAATGTCGAGTATGATGCATTAAGGATAGTGTATAACAAGTTCCATTCTGTTGTATCATTCGTGCCAACAACATCTACTGTATTATCTCCTGAGGTCTGTGACCGTCCGACTTTTTTGGCCTGAGTTTTGGAAAGTACGAGCTTTTGTGATGATACTAATGGATGTGATGCTGATGTAGGTTGTAGAGAGAGAAGCTGAGGCTGGTGGAAAACTCAGCGAACTGGATAGCTATGAAATTGAAGGTGGTGAATCTAAGTCGGAAGTGCTTCAGAATCTCTCCGAGTTTCAATTTTCTTGTGTAGGTTTTTTACCTCCCATTCTCTCTCTCTATATATATAACACACATATATTTCCTATAAATTGAAAAGGTTTGGATAATGTTTTTTGGGGCAGATGATGTTCAATGCTGTACTAGAAAACGCGTGCAGTGAGCAGGGTGCTCGGATGTCTGCCATGGATAGCTCGAGCAGGAATGCCGGTGATATGCTTGATCGTCTCACTCTCACTTATAACAGGTTTCGGTTTTTTTTCTCTCTCTAAGACCGCCACCTATTTTCTCTCTCTTTCTCACACTCACACATACTGCTGCAAACGAGCCGAGCCGAGCCGAGTCGAGCATTAGTCTTATCGAGCAAGATTGACTTTTTTTACCTGCTCGAGCTCGATGTATGACGCTCGAGATCGACTCGACAAAAGAAGACAATCGCTCGAGATCGATAGAAATCAAAATGCTCGAAAGATTGCTCGAGCTCGGCTCGAGTTCGACTCAAATTTCAAGTAAATTACCATTAAGCACATATATAAGATATTGTAGTATTTATATATAAGGGGTATTTTAGTAATTCACTAGCGGCTTGACCTTCCAAAACCTATGCTAGAGATCGACTCGATAACATGCTAGAGCCGCTCGAGCTCTGCTCGAGTTTGGTGAAACTCGAGCTCGAGCCTAGCTTTGACTTGAGCGCTCGCGAGCTGCTCGGTTCGTGTTTGCGGCCCTACTCACACAGACATGGACTCGAATTTTGTGTGCATGTTTTCATTTATTTTATGTTAATTGTTATTATTATCAATATTAATTTACCGTATGGCTGGGTTTTTACTACTTGTGCTTGCTTCTCAGAACTCGTCAAGCATCCATCACGACTGAACTCATTGAGATCATATCAGGAGCATCAGCTTTGGAGGGTTAATCAAAACAATGCTTGTGCCCATTTTTCTTTTTCTTGTTAAGATGTTGGCGAAATAAAAGCAGCAACGAATATTTGTACTTTCTTTTCGGACACCTAATAGACCCTTTTCTGATTTGCCTTATTCGGTAATCTATATATATATTAAAGCGGAGCAGCTGCCAAATTCCCGCTCAAAATCTACATTAAATGTTTGCACATTATTTGATAACTAATCTTTTCTTAAATTTTGCATTAAATTT